GTCCCTCCAACATGGCATTGTCCATTACAACTAACGATACTACATCCCGGTAACTTCACCTATGTTACAGGACTTGCTCGAGTCGCTCGGAACTTCAACTCCGCATCTCCTGGCGATTGGCCTCCACACAGCGACATTTTCACCGACAACACAAGCTTTCCCCTCGAGTATTCTACTCCTTGTGGCATGGCCACACCGCATACTTCCATCGGCAATGATCATCTTCTTCGACAACAACGGCCAACAATTCCTTTGCATCGAGGACACCTACATCGGCAGGCAGCGCGCCAACGGTCCTCCACAGATCTCACTGGCAAACGACAACACCGGTGACCTCCTCTTCGGCACGCTACAGCACTTCACCACGATACCACCAACCATCATCGCCACAACGTTGTGCCGATGCATAAGGGGTCAAGTTGATGTCGGCCAGGTACACTCGCTTCCACGACCGCCACGGGAGATGCAGACACTACACTTTCCGAGAACGCTTCCCGGCGCCGCCATCTACGCAGCTCGCTGCGTCCATGAACCAATGGATGGCTCGGGAACCAACAACTACTACATCTCCGGCTACTTTGGCTCCTGCAGCTACTACTTCTAGTTCACCGACTACCACATCAACACCAACCACTTCAATGATACCTTGGGTCAACTAACTGTTCAGATTGCAGAGCTAGCCGCGGACACCAGCCCGCCGCCAGAGACTGTCAAAGATTGGACAATGATTTAGCGTGAGGAGGCACTGATCGGAGAAGGGGGAGAGTGATGTCATACGCCTGATGGGGGCTACAGGCCCATCTGGCCTAGCCGGTCCGAACGCCAGCAGCAGCAGCGCTGCCGCCTAGGGCAGTAGCGGCACCGACTAGGGGGAGGCGCGCACAAGCAAGAGCGGGTCCCCGCCATTCCACTATCCATATCTGGAGGATCTCCAATAGGAATAGGATTAGCTAAGATAGGAAGGAGTCCATATCTATAAGGACTTCCCTTATTAGATTACTTAGGATGCAAGTCTTCCCAGCACTATAAGTAGAGGGGTTATGTAATCATTGCAATCAAGAAAGAATAGCCTAGGGGCTTCCCTATCCCTCTCCCCTCTCCCCCTCTCTCTCCAGTGTCTTCCTCTCCTCTCTCTCTGCGCCATCTCCTTCTCCTCTCTCCCCAAACCTTAGCCGCTACCGCTCCTCCACCATAGCCGCCGCCCCTAACCCTAGCCGCCGCACCCCTAGGCCCCCCCTCCCAACAGGGCTCTTACATATTCAGTTCAGTTTTTTGTTTGCAGGTTCTAGCGATAAAAAGAGTAAGTTCTATCCTGATGATCTAAAGATTGCCATTTACCTAGAATTGTATGCAAGAACAGATCCTCCTACTCTTCTTCATGGAGTTTCAAAAGCAGTTTCAGAGAAGTTTGATGTACCTCTGTGGGTTGTACAATCCATTTGGAAAAACCGTCAAAGTAGTGGAATAAATCAAATCGTGAACAAGTATTTTAGGAATTGTGGCCGGACACGAATAGAAGTAGATTTAGAGGTGATATAAGACATCCCTATTAGGCAGCGCATAGCCTTTCGAGATCTTGCTAGTGCATCAGGTGTTAAGAAGAGCACACTTCATAATCGTTTCAGAGAAGGATATTTTCGTTGTCACACTAACGATCTCATGTTCAGTTTGACCGATGAAAACAAAAAAGCACGCATCAAGTATTGTTTGTCAATGATGAACGACTTATCCTTCCAACCAATGTACAATGTTTGGATGCACGCCGAGCCTGACTGTTAAAATGAAAAATATATATTTCATTTTTTTCCGGCCTAGACGGCATGGTGCAGAGAGCGTGCATGCGTGGCACAGACATAGAGAGTAGCGATGCGGGACGAGCGGGAACCAAACAACTTCTCTCATGGATTTGGCTACAGTGAAGCAAGCAACGAAACGGATCTAACTCGCATGCGTTGACCCTGTGCCGACGAGACTGGCTGATGGATGCAAGCCAGACTGAGCCTGAAGCGGACCAATCGCGCCCTAGGTGTAGTAGGAGTCGTGAGCCCCCGTTCAAATTTGGCTGTGTTGCATTCGCGGAGGCTGTCACACGACTGGTCCACTGCGGCATGTTTAGCGCGATTATCACGACCTCCAACCAAGAAGCCACTTGAGGATCTGTTTAGAACGTAGAAATTTTATAGCAATTATATAAGAATTTTATAGAAAAAAAACACATGTGCAGAGAAATTTTCATGCATTCCAAACAAGCCCTAAAATTGGAGATCTATACTTTGTACTCGGTCTCTACTCGTGCTCTGAGACTGAGAGTCTGAGGCTCGGAGTAACAAGCTCATTTGTTGTTCCAACTTAGTACTCCCATTGTTCCCAAAAAATATAATTCTTATTTTTAAGAAGTCAAATAATATTAAATTTGAATAAATCTAAAATGCATTAACAATCCTCTTTATGATATTGAATAAGTATTAGTGAATTACTTATAGAATATATTTTATAGCAAACCTATTTGGAGACATATATATATATATATATATATATACATTCCTCTTTATGATATTGAAAAACGCTTAAAGTTTGAATAATTAAACATTTGGTCTGCTGGGAAGCGAGCGTCCCCCTGCCCGGACGCTCCATTGGTGGGCCGCGCGACGCTAGCTCAAGACCCCCTGATCCTCCGTTTCTAAATAAAAAAATCATGTCGTCCACGTACTCGTTCCTATTCGCTCGTCTGCCGCCTCTAGTGCTCGGTCGCTGGCCCAGCAAGGCGCGGCGTGCAGTCGCCTCTGAATCGCGATGCTTGGCTACCAGCCCTGACAGGCGCGGCGCGCGGCTGCCTCTCCCAGTCATGCGGCCGCTGCCTCCCACCACGTCGCACGGCCGATGCCTCTCTTCCATGTCATGCAACCGCCGCGGGCGGCCCGCTGCCTACAAGCGTCACCAGGCCGCTGGCTCCGGTGAACTCCACATGTCGACGAGCCTCCATTCTCTCAAGCAGCAAGGAGATGTTGCGCTGAAAGCGCATGTTGCAAGCATACGTTTTAATTGTTTTAGATGTTTCACAGTTATGTTGCAAGTATTTTAAATGGATGTTGCAAAAGTAGATCGGGATGTTGCACATGTTGTAGTGGTTGTGCATGTATGTTGCAAGTATCTGTTCCAAATGTTTCATATATTTTTTCAGATGTACATTGCAAGTGTGTTTGTTTGGATGTTGCATATGTTTCACACCTATGTTGCAAATGTTTTATGTGGATGTTGCATATGTTTTGTAATGGTTTTTTCAAGTGTTTTCATGTGTTTTTTAAGTGTTTCAGACGCATGTTTCAAGTGTTTTATCTGTCTTCAAACGTATGTTGCAAATGTATCATATGGGCGTTTCAAAAATAGATCGAGTGTCACTGCTGGGGACTCACCTGCCGCAGCCGCCTGCTGCAGGGTGCCGCCGAGCGGGCGCGGACGTCCAGCCGGGGAAGTGGAGGGGGCGCGAGCGGTCCCCACGTGGTATCGGCAGTGCGAGCGACGTCGAGTGGCGCGGGCCTGCATGGGCGCGCAAAACGAAGTGTAGGCGCGGGCGTTAGGACATGCGCGTCCGTCCTAACATCCGGACGCTAGTATTGCCATTAAATATTCTTTTTAGGGTGGAGCAGAGGTCAGTGGGCGATGAGTACCTTGTTTTGGTTTCATTTTAGAGCTAGTCATGGTAAAGTGCCTTTTTCACGTATCTCTGTTCATTGAATAACACATGCATAGTTTTGCTCTGCCACGACTACTTGGATATCGCAAGTCGCTTTTGGGCTCCTGCGGATCAATCAATCATACCATCGGCGCTCATGTTGCGGTGCTGTGTCTGATTGACTTGTCAAGAACACGCACATTTTACCTGCTAGCAGGAAAATATCTCTTGTAGCATTTACTCATAAAAATAGACAAGTTGTGCGTGTGTACGAATTAAAAAACATTCATTAAATGTTGACGACGAGGAAAGCTTAATAATTTGACAGGTTTGGAGTCAAATCAAAGTGGTACACTACGCTGAGCTGTACGTCTGGATCAAATAAAGTCTCGGCAATGACACAAATAATGGCCCTTATTGCATAGGTTTTGCATGGAAGCAATGCAAGCCGATGGATTTGAACAAACAAACACCTCCAAGGATCCATTCGACGGCAAAAGAAAACCTAAGATACTGAAGAGATGAAGCCAAAACAAAGAGAAGAATAATTGGACTTGTCCTAGCTAGAATTTGAATTTGCCAGCGACATTTCATTTTGTCAACATGTGTTGCTCTTCAAACCCTTTTAAAGAATCAAAATATCACTAAAATCGGAGTTCAAAGAAAAAAATTATGGGTGAAGTATAAAAAGTCATGGGTTATGCAAATAGCCGCATGATCTAGCGACGCACATCGCTACATATATAGTGCATTTTGAACTTTTTTCCAAGACCAAATCTTCCCGTCCACCCACAATAAAAATGGCAAAGCAATTCGTAAGATTTGTAAAAGGTCCAAAATCAACAAAACCTGAGTGCAGACCAAGAATTACAGTCGAAATACAAAGGATGTGTGCTCAATAGAACCTAGACTAATTCTAAATCACCTTAACCCTTACAAAACTTTCTCTCTATCTCTCTCTCCACCCTCTCTCCCGTGCACTTCCTCACCTGGAACCCTGTCTTCTTTCTATTTTTCCCACACTTCCTCCTTGACATACGCATAGCACCAACATGGAGAGGGGAACGGTTGATTCATCAAGTGCAGGGCACACCAGTGGCAAGGGGCAAGCCGGCGAGCTGCGCTAGGCCTATGCTCCCTCGGGGCTGGTTGTGGCTTGACTAAAAGAAGCTCTGATCCTGAGATGCTAGAGATGCTACATGAAAATACAGACGACCTGAAATATTATCTTTCATTTTGCCACACGTTGTACAATCATTGCTCATTTGCAACTAGGAGCTCTGATCCTGACCGGCTTGTGTGCCATGAACAGGAGCAGGAACCGGAGATGGAGCGTGATGCCGAGGGTGGTGCAGAGCGTGCGCTAGCTGGTCAGCGTGGACCGGCGATGGTGTTGGGGCATGATTGTGGTGGGCGTGATGGCCACGATGGTCCGGCGCTGGCGCTTGGGCATGATGGCTATGATGACTGTGATGGTCGTTGTGGCCATGGCGACCTGGCTCCGGTGCTGATGTATGGCGACCGTGGTGACCATGATGACCTGGCGCCAGTGCATGGTCAGCACCAGTACCACCATTGCTAGGAGAACTTGCTGACTGCGTAGGCACTGGTGCAGGTGCCGGGGCGTGATGGCCATGGTGGTGATGATGCTTCAGCGCAGCAGCGTGGTGTTGCGGCCCTGGAGCATGGGGCGGCAGGTGATGGTTGTAGTGTGCCACCGACGATGTGGCCATCAGCAGCATCGCCATTATCACAGCCATCGGTGCGATTGGCATGGCCATGGCGAGATGCTAGAGGAAAATTGGTACCTGGTGGGTGGTGTCTTACAATTGTGGGCAAGAGCGTATATATTTGGAGTCTTGAACCAAAGGTTTGGCTATCATTGATTAGAAAAAAAAAGATTAATAATGTCTTCACGAGGGAATAGCCTGACCAAACGACAGATGAGGATATGATTTATTTGCTACATCAATGCCTTCTTTCTTTTGTCTCGCAAAAAAATGCCTTCCTTTTTTATCAACCAATGCATATCAACCCAAAAAATCACATAATTACTTTTCAATAAATACGAGATCTACATATTTATGATATTCCTTTTTTTATAAAAGAGCTTAAGTGTTTTTGCCTCTGTTTTGTAGCGAAATGATGATTTTGCCCTCGGTTTTTAACTTTGTGATTTTACCTCTACGTCCTTAAAATGAAGGGAGAGTTTGCCCTTGTTCTGTGAAGTGTTCTTAACGGTTTTAAGTTTTGGACAAAAAGACAAATTTATCCATGTGATTTTGCCCCTGTTTTATTTTTCTCTTTGTGTTTTACCCCTAGTTTTTAATCAACGGTTTGATAACTTTGATATGGATTAGGCAATAGTAGACGGTATATATACCAAGCATTCATCTTGGCTGCCCCCGTCACTCCTTTCATGAAGGACCTCAGATCAAGTACTCTGGACATAAAGGGATCTCAAAGCACATCCAATCCAACTTCTGTCCGCCATGTACAAATTGTAAGAAAAAATCATTTTATTTAAAACTTAATTACCTTGATTGCGTGATTAAGTATGTATACTACCAGGCAAATCATTTATAGAACTACAATAGATCCATGGGATCGCACTAGTTGAAGACACGTATAACGATGACGAGTATACTAACAACTCAGGTAAATAAAACGAGTAGTATGCTGCAATCAACAAGTTGAAGACACCAGCGCCAGATGCCGTGGAGACGTGGAGGAAGCACCGCGGGAAAATATGATCGTCGGGCAACGCCGGATAGATCATAGATGCCGTTGAGCTGGTGTGGAATTGGCTGCGAATCGAGGCCAGCAATCTTTATTCTTTAGATATCCTCGGCATCCGGATTGTGCTCGCTTTCTTTCAGGAATCTGGTTCACTGCTGGCGGAGCTCCGCTATCCATTTCACGCGCTAGCTACCGTAGGCCGCTCCCACAGCAACCTTCCCTGCCATTTCTCGTGGTCACTGTTGATGCCAGGCTGTCCTGCACAAGTAAACAACTAGCTTACCAGCACATACACTCACTCACTATGGCTAAAGGTAAAAGAAGAGATTGAAAACAGCGCATACACACACTTAGCACAAGCATCAGCGTTGACCGAACCCCTGCCCTTTGGTTTGTGGCAACTGAACTAAGTATTTCATTGCCCTTTGAATGGAATATATACAACTCTAACTATACCTCTACCAGGTACATAGTTGTTGGCTAACTACCTACTCCTGAGTACAAGAATACACCAAATACCTACTCCTAAGGTATAGGGTACACCAACTGCCTACTCCTAAGGTACAGAGTATACCAATTACTCCTAGCAGTATAAAGCTTATCTCAGCCCACTACCAAGACATGGTTGATGTAATAGCTACCAACTAATATACTAGAGGTGACCTATTGTAATACTGCTACAGCTACAAAAACTGGTCGGCAGAGCCGATCAGTCCCCAACTCCCAACAGGGAGTCGTCGGCCGAGCCGACCAGTCTCCAACCAAGGAGAGAATGGGGAGCAACAGATTATGTCTAAAAATTCTTCCCCTAATCCTGCTACTAGCCCGATGCCTTGACCTCATCCATGTCAATCATCTTTCTCAGCTCCATTAACCGCAGGCGTTCGAGTGATTTGGTGAGGATGTCAGCGAGCTGTCTGCTGGTCTCGACAAACTCGATGACGATCTGCCCTGTATCGATGCAGTCCCGGAGGAAGTGAAACTTGATGTCGATATGCTTGCTCCAGTCGTGGAGGACAGGGTTCTTAGCGAGGGCGATGGCGGACTGGTTGTCCACCATCAGAGCTGGCGGGTGAGCTTACTCGCCGGTCAGCTCGCCCAGCAGCCGGCGCAGCCATACAGCCTGACACGCCGCCGTGGCCGCTGCGACGTACTCCGCCTCACACGTCGATAGCGCCATGATCTTTTGCTTGCGTCCATGCCAAGCCTCAAATGGCATCTTGCCCTTCAGGGACTTGGTGGGCGCGCGGTTGAGGATAAACACCGCCGTGGTCACCGCCTCTCCCCAGAACTCCGCCGGCATCTTCTTAGCCTTCATCATGAATCGAGCCATGCCAGCCACCGTCTGGTTCCACCGCTCCACCACGCCATTCTGCTGTGCCGAGTACGGTGCGGTATGGTGTTGCACCATGCCCTAATCCGCGCAGTACACAGCGAATTCCATCGAAGTGAATTCGCCACCGCGATCAGTCCACAGCACGCATAGCTTCTTGCCGCTCTCCGTCTCCGCGCGCGCCTTGAACTTCTTGACCGCTTCCACCGCCTCGGTCTTGCTGGTCAGAAGCTGCAGCCACATGTACCGGCTATAGTCATCCACCAGCAAGATGAAGTACTTACGCCCGCCGGGCGTCGTCGGCGTGATCGGCCCGCAGAGGTCACCATGGACCAACTCGAGGGTCTCTATCGCGTGGTACTTCGCCGTCTTCGGGAACGGCAGCCTTCTTTGCTTCCCGGTCAGGCAGCTGTCACACAGCTCGCCTGCGTGCTCGATGTGAGGCAACCCAGTCACCATCTTCTCCAGTCGACCAAGAGCGTCAAAGCTAAGATGTCCATACCGGGCATGCCACAGCCACGGCTCCTCCGTGCGCCGTGCAGCTAAGCAGATGGGCTGCTCCACCTTGAGGTCAAGCAGGTACAGCCAATTTCGGGACCTCTTGACCTTGGCAAGAAGCCTCTGCTCCCAGTCCCTGATCCTGAGGACGCGTCCTTGATCAGTACTTCGCTGCCGCGCTCATCCAGTTGGCCAATGCTGATGATGCTTAAACGCAGCTGCGGGATGTAATATACATCCGTTAGTGCCCGGTGCTCGCCGTTCTGGCACCTAAAGATGATGGTGCCGCCCTAGGATCGCCACCCTTGAGCCGTCACTGAAATTCACCGTGCTGGTCACGTCGTCGTCGACCTCAGAGAAGGCTGCCTTGGAGCCCGTCATGTGGTTGCTGGCGCCGGAGTCAAGTGTGGCAGAACCTCCTAAATTATAGGGCCCACATGCATCTGTCACTGTCCAATGACCTTTGACATCTATGCATACGTTCCCGGTAACTTAAGAAGACTGTCGGGTGTCCTCGGGGAACCCCGAATCATCCACGATTTCCGAGCAGGATCACATTACAGAGTCATTGCAGTATTACAACAGTTTATTCAAATAGATACATCAGAGTAAATATAGCGGAAGACTTACAATAACATAGTTTACAAACCATTTGTTTCAAACTATACAACTAAGTTCGATTAATAATACAAAACAAAGTAGTGGAGTGGCATTATAATATATTACAAAACACACAATTAAAGTTGCCCTGCCCAAGGGCCACACATTTACATAACGTCATCACAAGAAACAACCGTCATGCAGCACGATCCAAAACAGATCTGCTCATGAGCCTCACCTGCAACAAGGGTCAACGAACCCTGAGTACAAAAGTACTCAACAAGACTTAACCGAAATAAAACTGATAGAACTCAGGAATGCAGGCTCAGGGATTCAAGGTATGACTTTCGCAATAATCAAAGTTCTTTTGCGTAAAAGCTTTTTAATAAAATTCTTTACATCAACATTTAAAACTTCATAAGATCATATACAAAGCTGACACGATCCGTATTGAGATCATAAAACTTCGTATCCAACACCTTCACAGACCATCCTCAAGTTTCAGTTATTATCACTACGATGATGAACAGTGACTTGAGTCTCCATAACCATGGAGCAACGACAATTCAAACCGATTAAAAACCCAGCTGGGAATTCCAGACCACACGACATATGTAGGTTTCCGACCTACATATACCAACCCACCCTCGGATCCTCTAAAACAAGAATGGGTCCACGCCACCCGAGAATACAGTACTCCACCAATCTAGTCCATTGCCACGTGGGTACACGCTATTCCCGCCATCTCTCTACTCCCAGTGCGCGAGTAGCCATTCTCGTAATAGAATAGCCAAGTTAAGGCTTACTGGAGTATGTGGTTAGTACTACAAAGTCTCACCTCATGCAATTCAACAACGGTACGGACCTTAATCGACATAGGCAGAAAGAACCCGCTCACAAGACCTCCATGTCTTGTGGCTCACACACACCGAGTCCGCCCGGTCTAGATTTATTACTCCACATTCACATATCACATGTTAACATAATTAACCAAAGATCCATTTAAAACTTGCAGATGACAGGTAATCACCCGACTTTCATCGTTCTAAGCATAGCTAAGCAAAACTAGGCATATACGAATTTAAAACTGTTAATATGGTAAATATGGAATAACAAGGTTGGTAATGTACCAATTCGGTTTTCACTTGACTCATAATCACTTAATGCAGTAAAAAGAAGCAAAAGCAAAATTAATTTGTAAAATACAAGGTAGGGTTGTATGCATCCGGGGCTTGCCTTCATTGACAGAAAAATTTGGGTCCGAAGTCGTTCCACCAATATCAACACCAACCTCCACAGACGGATCAACCTCCTCAACTACTTGATTAACTACCACGTGTTCACCTTCGTTCACTACACATAGTAACAATGCCATGTTTAACATGATGCGGAATACGAAACATGATGCTCGA